AGTTTGAGAAATCTTTCTCCTTGAGATGCAACTGTCCACTGGCTTAAATAACTATATGCTATAAACCCCTAGTATTATAGAGGGATATACCACTGCTGAGTTAAAGCTTGTAATCCACAGTGGAGAAAGAGAAAACTAAGAGGCAGATACAAAAGTCTCATTTTTTTTCATGCTCCCTGCATAGCAAACACTTATAATTAAGTAAAAACTTAAGGGGGAGTTTCAATCCACTTTTCATGACCAGTCACTTTAGGTGCTTATTTGGCAAATGTGCAGAATAATAAAATAGATTGTAGTTAAAGAAATTGTATGTGCTTATTCTAAAAATGATAGAGGAGTGTTTTACTGTGGATGTAAGTATGCTATAACAAGTTTTTGCAATGAACAGTCACTTTAGGTGCTTATTTGGCAAATGTGCAGAATAATAAAATAGATTGTAGTTAAAGAAATTGTATGTGCTTATTCTAAAAATGATAGAGGAGTGTTTTACTGTGGATGTAAGTATGCTATAACAAGTTTGTTGCAATGAATTAAGGGTGAACAGCCATAAAGAGCATCGTTCTGCCTCTTCCCTGTTCTATTTCCCTCCCTGCCCCCACCCCCCACCCCCATATGTTTTGAACCAGTGGGGGTCAAAGTGTGATAAATGCATGGTTGTGGGATTATTTCCTCCTAGAAGATGCTCTCTTAGTGTTTGTATGTTATACTGCAGTAGTAGACTTTCAATAACATCTGATGGTTTGAGAGCATTCATATGTCCAGGATTTCACCTTTTGATTTAAATGAGTCTGAAACTTCCATTGTCAGAAGCTCTTAGGAAGAACAATTCTTAAGTTTGAGAAGGTTTACTGCTTGTAGTACTGTTTGCCCTTTAAATGAAATGACCTCCCTTTCCCCACAGTTTGCTTCTAGGAAGTTATCCTGTTCTAGACAAAAGTACAAGTTTTGTCTGCTCAAGACAAACTAGGCTACTGAAGGTGACTTAGAGGATCTCACTAAAACCTAACCCTTTGTTTTGGTTTTTAAGAGGAGTAGAGCACTTGCAAATTCTTTTGCATTTACAGTACTGAAACGCAAGTAACTTATATGCAGAATTAGCTTCTGTCCTGTAGAAGAAAAATGTTGGATGTTTCTTTAGGATAGTGAAAACTTACTTGACTTATATTTCTAATTGTTGTCTGGAAAAAGTAGTAATCTAGATCCTTAGTTCATAATGAACTCATCCAATTGGTTTACTGCCTCTGTGATACTATTCTAATTTCACATGTAAATGTGTTTTGTATCAACGCTGTCCAAACTGTGCTTAATTAGTATATTTGGCAATTAAAGCAAAGACTCAAACGCACGCACAAATTTAGCTAATTTGCTTGAATGAGAAGTGATCTGTCTGCCTGCGGACATTGCTGACTGATAGATAGTTTCAAGTGCAGTCAGTTTTTGGAAGGGAAGAATCATGACCACTAAAAGCAGGAAAGTAGCTGGATCCAATAAGTCATTTTCTTATTGAGGAATGGATTCACGTTAAGCATAAGGCACTGTTGATAGCAAAATTGGACCTGACAGCTAATCAATATTTGTCTGCTTCTCATCTTCTGCTTTCTGAGAGAAGCGTTGCTCTGTGCTGTGAGTTGACTTCCTGTGGTATATAAACTATCAAAATTGCAAGGAAATAATTTGCCACAGAATGATATTTTTAGCAATGAATAGCAACTTTTAACCACTTTGCTTTGCTACCTTTTACATGTTGTATAGCAGCACTTTTTGCATCAGTATCTTAAATTTCTCTGGACGACTGGCATGTGGGAGGTGTGCTGGGAAATATGTATGTGGTACACCTCTATTGACCCACTGTATCTAATGTACAGAGTACATATGTACACATACACTCTGTGGGTACAGAAGCTGTCTAAAGTGATGATTGTAGCATAGGAGTTTTAAATGCAGCAAAAATATGGGCAAGATTCAAAGGATAAAAGCTGAAATGTGTAAATTTAGCCAGAAATAGTTCAACTCTAATGGAGAGTTTTGGCATCTTGGAAGAGGTCCTACTTTCATTGCTGCAAGACTGAAAGTTAGATCAGTGTATTCTCTTCTTACCTTAAGCCTGTGAATCTGAAATGATACTTCACTAATAATCAGGTTCAAAGTTCTTTGTTATTGACTACTGTGTTGGTTTTAATTCATTAGGGGTGGGTTGTTTATACGTGAGTAGATATCACTCGAGGCCCTAGGCAACAATTAAGCTTCATTTTACAGTGCCGCCTGTACTGGAGTTAATTTCCCTCGAGTGAAATGGGAATGGTTTGGAAAACTGAGTAAAGCTGAACTTTTCTTTCTCTACTTCCTTCCCCACCAACCCCTTCATGCACTGTAGATTCAGATGTATCAGCTCTCAAGGCTTCTTCATGATTATCACAGAGACCTGTATAATCATCTTGAAGAAAATGAAATCAGTCCCAGTCTTTATGCTGCACCGTGGTTTCTTACACTGTTCGCATCTCAGTTTCCATTAGGATTTGTAGCCAGAGTATTTGGTAAGAAAGTTTATTCTATTGCAATAATAAGCAGAACAATGTTATCCATTGTGTTTTGAAACTCTCAGGGAGTAGTTTTCTACATACTAGGGATATTTGGGGTGACTGTTGTGTGTGGCAAGTAGCAATGCTCTTCATGGTGGGATGTCAGCTCCTTTTCAAAGAGGGAAACCGAAATGTATTCTTTGAAATGTCAGACTTGAGCAATTAAGTACTTCTGCCGTTACTAGCTAAGAGACTTCTGAAGTGTGAACAGCAGGAAGTTTATTGTTGTAAATGTATTTTGTGCATCAAGCATTCAGTTTATGTCTATAGAAAAGTTCATCTTGTTGAACTTGCAAATTGAAAAAAAGAAAATGCATTGGGTTTTGAGAAAGTGTTTCTGAATAACTGATTCTAAAGTGCTTTCTAATAAAAATTCAAGTAAACTTGAACTTAAAGGTTGTTTCAGGTATTCGTGTATATATTGAACAGTTTCCTAGTCTTAGTATGCTTCTTATTCCATTTAGATCGTTTTTCATGATATGCTTCTCTTCAGATAATGTCTAGTACAGAAGGTTAAATATTGATTGTGCCTTGTAGTGTTTACAGTATCAGCATGTCAAGTACTTGGTTTTTTGTATTCTTTTATTGTCAATAAGAACTGACAGCTTAATCAAATATCTAGTAATGCAGCTTTTTTTTTTTTTTTTAATTTATCTATTTATTAATGTAAAACTCACTGCGCTCAGATATGCACCAAGAAGCTAGGAGCATATGTCATGTACTTCCTCTTAAATCAGACTTTTTTCCATTTGATTTTTCTGTTTTCATACAGCACCTTTTGTCTTTCCTTAAGAAATTCAACCTGACTTTTGTCTCATGTTTTATTACTGGAGTGTGTTAGGTTTTTAATTTGTTTGGTGTGGTGGTTTGGGGGGAAGAGGGGTTGGTTTGGTTGGTTTTGGTTTTCATTTTTTTTGACCTAGCGATTTCTCTATTACAGAGGGTGTTTTCCTTTCACAGCAAACTTGTTCTGACTGCTCTTTGGGGAACAAATGATTGGTGTATCTGTTTTTCAGTGGTATTCACGTAATCTCTTTCCCAGTGGGATTATTGAATTCCGGGACACTCAAGCATTTTGGTTTTTTTTCTTTTTAATTTGTTTTTCAAGGCTAAAGTGTTCTTTTCCTTTTTTTTTTCTTCAGTAGGCTTTGAATTTGGAAAATGAATTTTTTTAAGGCTGGGGAGGGTCAGTGTTAATTTCTCTGTAAATGAGCTGAGCAAGGCATGTTCCCATTTTAAAACTCAAAAGTCACGATGTTGTTTTGCTTCCTAATGCTTTGGATTCCTGCATCTTCAGTGTCTAATGGGCCATTGTCACATACCAGGAACAGATGGTTAATGTCTACCCGCCACAAATTATATACTTAATATTTATGCTGCTTGAATGTGCATCATGGACTTGAGAAGGGAGACTTTTAGGAACTGTGTATGAGTGAGATGGCTGCCTCACCAGTGTCCTGGTGCTACCCTGTGATACTGGATTAGGGCCAGGGATGACCTCTCGGAATCAGGATCAGAAGTTGAGTTCAGTTGCGTAGCACTGCTCTTGGTGGTGTGACAGAATCAACAGCACAGGAGGCTTATTTGAACTGCTCATGTGCTGCGTTCATCTCAGTAACTGCAAGTCCACCGCTGCTACCGAGGCCGAGTTTCTAGTTACTGTGATCAAGTTTCCAGTTTCTGTGCAGTCTGTGTCTACTGACTTCTGCAGAGCCCGGACTTTCCCCTCACATCCACATAATTATACCTCAAAGTAAGGGTTTGGGGCTTAAATTATAGCCAATGTGATTTTGAAAATAAAATGGTTGGTTATGGCATCTACACGATTGTTTTTTAGGGACTAGCTTCTGCCTGTAGAAAACAGTAAAACGTCAGCACGTTGTGTTGTGATCCGCTTCCCAATTGCTTTTCAGTCACAGATGCACTTAAAAACAGTTCATGTTTAGTTAACAGTCTATAGTCTACAGTAGACAGTAATGAAATGCTTATTGCGGATAACCGTTACAGACATAACAAGCATGCGATATTTTCTTTAATGCTCTCTCACATCTGTAAGGTGACAGAAAATGCTTTTATATGCTTTAACCTCATGTTGAAATAAGATTGCACTTCTGAACTGAATAAATCTGCAGTATGATTGATTATAAAGAAAAACATCCCAGCAAATGTATATATTTATCCAATGACTTTAGCTCTCGTTTTCAAGATATTTTAATGATTTTCTTTTTTAGACATTATTTTTCTTCAAGGAACGGAAGTCATATTTAAAGTAGCGCTGAGCCTACTTAGCAGTCAAGAAACATCTATAATGGCATGTGAGAGTTTTGAGAACATTGTTGATTTTCTTAAAACCACTATTCCAATATGACTCAAACCTCAAACCCCCCCCCCCTCCCCCCTTTAGTTTACTTTAAAAGAATCATGCGTAAGGTATATGTAAAAGTCTTCTCAGTGTGTTCCTTTTGGTTTGAAATACAAAGGAGGCATCTTCCCAGTAACTTGTCTAGAAATAAGATATGAGCCTAGTTTCAATGTGTTTTGAACTGCAATTTTAGCAAGACTTTAGTTGCTACCTCAAGGTTTAGTACAAAGGTTCTTTTGTGCCCCAGCTATTGGGAAAACATGACTTTGCTTATAAATGTCATGTCACCATTAGAAGGGTAGAAGTAACCTATTTTCCAAACCTAAGCCCTGTTTTCATGATCTGTATTAAAATCAAGGTTGAGCAAACTTTTGCTGTTCTGTTGCGTGGGTGGCTTCTATTCTCCTGGGTATCACTTTTAGGGTGCCCTCATGCAACTTCGCCTTCTCACCTCAACCCTGTCCTTGGAGGGATCACATTGGCAGGTGCTTGGTGCCAGAGGTAAAAGCCCCTGAGGATTGATCCCTGCCTTTCTTGATGATCTGTATTAAAATCAAGGTTGAGCAAACTTTTGCTGTTCTGTTGCGTGGGTGGCTTCTATTCTCCTGGGTATCACTTTTAGGGTGCCCTCATGCAACTTCGCCTTCTCACCTCAACCCTGTCCTTGGAGGGATCACATTGGCAGGTGCTTGGTGCCAGAGGTAAAAGCCCCTCAGGATTGATCCCTGCCTTTCTTGGTAAGGGAAAGGAGGACTGGAATAGTGTTATTTCACCAGTATCATTGCAACTTCATGGCAAAGGGTAAGAATAGAAAAGAAACAAAGAATTACTGATGCTGATATAGGAAAAGCTTCTTGTGAAATACTGTCAGTGGCTGGGATCTTCATCTCTCTACATCGTCTTCTTCTGCATTGAAGCTGCAAACTGAAAATGAGCCTCAGCCTAATACCTTAAACTGTGAACCTGTGAGCAGTTTTCCCCCTTCAGGTGGCAGTTTGGAGATAACAGAAGAGCTCTAGAAAACCATCTGCATATGCAGGAGTGCAGTTAACACTGATGCGTTCCTATGGCTTGGTTAATACTTGAATGTTTCAGGTGCTGTCAGTTAAGAATTCCTTTTTGAACAACGTGCAAATCTTAATTTCCTCATTGCGCTGATTGTGATTGCCATGCTAAACCTATGTCAGGGACTTTAGTGTCTGTCTTCACAACTCGCTGATTCTGGCAGTGATAGAGATGGTAGTTCAATATTTTTGATACTATTAGAAATTGAATCTCTGTCCTGTGGTCTGCCTGGGTTGCAGAGCATTTGTGCTGTGGTGAGCATGGTAGAAGTGGCTTTGTGCAAAGCCAGGTCTGATTGAGTAAAGAATGGGTTATGTTGCCTGAGCGGAGGTGGATGTGGTTGTATGCAGGTCAGCTCAGCTCTGAGAGGAAGATCTCCTGCTTGCCCGTGGTGTGGTCTCATGCTGAGCAGCCTTCTGGATCTGCCTTCACATGTAGGCTGCCTATATTCTATTGCTCCTACCTAGGCTGACTGCAGGTTGAGTTGTTTGGCTGTCTCAGCGTTGTAATTCCCAGGACCGTCCTCTTACAGCGGATAATGAAAGAAAAATGTAGACATTATGCAGGACTGTAATACACAGATGAAGAATTGACCGGGTAGCTACATAGAGGAAAATGGCACTTGCCCAGCTTGAACACCATATGTAATTAAAAGTTTTACCTCATTTGAATTACCTGAAGAACAGTGAACGTAATGCAGAACTTGTTTTGTTGGGGGATCTGTGTGTCTTCTGTTGGTGTAATGTTTGTGATCTCTAGAACAAGGAAAAGAATTAATGTCACTGTAGACATCCTTCCCTTCCTAGTCTAAACTATTTGGTAACTTCCAGAAGCTGAGAGGCTGTGACTAAATGTATAAACAGATAAGGGTCATATGGTCCCATCACTGTTAGATGCTCAGTTCCATAGTCTTCACAATGCTTTGTCACCAAAGCATCCCAATAAGAAAGTAGCGTATCTTCATGCAGAGACAGAGCACAGGGAAACTGTAACCATGAAGACTGTTTTTATAAAAGTCTATAAATGGGCACTTGGAGTCAAGAGATCCAGTTTTGAGGGTGGAGATCTGATGACTCCTGGATTATTCTTCCTCATTGTGTGATCCTGCTCCCATCACAAGCTGGTGAGACTTGAATTTAAAAATTTCTTCTTGAACTTCTTAATATTCCTGAGCAAGAGATGATAAGACTTGGTCATATTATAAAATACTTGGGTTGAATAAGACTTTTCTGCTGATATATCTCATAGTAAAAGATGGTATTTGGTAATTGTAAAAGTGATGATCCGATTTATTCAAAAGTCTATGATTTATTATGGCTACAGTAAGAACTCTAGATGCTAAAATGGTCTTACTGTAGACTTCCCCTTAAAATACTTTTCTGAGAGGAACAGGAAAAAACGTTAAGTTAATCAAGCAGAGTTGCCTCTTAGCCAAACATTCATGTGGAATAAGTGCTCTCTATTATAGTTAAAAATTGTTTTTTCTCTCATGGCAGGTGTTTGAGATGGATATTTCAAAACAGCTCCATGCCTACGAAGTAGAGTACCACGTTCTTCAGGATGAACTGCAGGAAAATGTGAATCTCTCTGATGAAGGTGAACCCCTGGAGAAGCTGGAGAGGGCAAACAGTCATCTGAAGAGACAAAACATGGATTTGTTGGAGAAGCTACAGGTAAATGACATAAGACTACGAAGTCATGGAGACGTCATTTCTATGATTTAGCCAATAGAGGAGTAAGTGTCTCTCTTAAATGTACATGAGAAGTCTCCTAGCTGCAAGACCTTAAGCAGTTGAGCAGTTCTCTTAATTACAGTGATTTACTTCTGTTAGACGTATTTTTAACTTTGCCATTCCTTGCACTTTTCCTTCTTGATTTAGGTTTCTTTTTCTCAAAATATCTTGACCCTTATCTCCCATAAAGTCTGTTGGCAAAATTTGTGTATCTTGCTGAAAAATTAGTTCTCTGTCTCTTCATCTCTTTGCTTCCCTATTGGAAAGCTTTAAGAAATAATCCATAGCACATTAGGCTTGCTTTCTCTAGACCTTTGTAGGCAGTATTGTTTTGTTTCCTTCTGCTGAAGCTCATAGTCCTACTTTTGAAAGGTGGTCTGTCTTAGCAGATGTGAATACAGCTGAGTGCCCACCAGACTTTGCCCAATAAAGTCATGCTTTAAAAAATTCTTCTCTTCCTCCTTCACCATTCACCCTTTGTCCTATAGCCTAGCCAAGACTTGTTTCAGGTTTCAGTGTGTATTGTCTTGCATTTTCCTGAAAGACAAACTCTTCTTTTTGCATCACCAGGCCATTTCTTGTTATATTTGTTAATTTGAACATGCATTGGAAGATCTCAGAAAGCACCTTCAGTTTCTGAAACCTGAAAATAGAAGCAGGGAAAAAAGGGAAGATCAAGTCCTTGTTATTTTTGTGTTTGTGGGCAAAGCGTGCTATGCTGTGTTCTTTTGATATTCAAAATAGGGATCACTTGCTTGTTTACTATTATTATTTTTGCTTTATTACTTTTATTTATTTGTTTATTTACTGCTACCTGGGCTTTTACCTCTGTTCTGAAAATGCACCAAGGGCATAGAATAATTATGAGTGACGATTTGAAAGGCTCTATCAAAGCTCTTCTCTTCTTCCAGAGTGCCGTACTGTAATGCATCTTCCTCAGTTCCTTAACCTCTTCATCTTTTTGTTTGCATAGTTTCTTCATTCCTCTGCTTGGGCCCTTTCCTAGGAACGGTCATAATTCCCCCACTTCCCACAGAGAGATGTTTGCTACTGCTGAAGTCCAGGGTTTCTGATTACTAGTCAGTGTTTTTTTTCCCCAGGGGAAGCTGTAGGTCTTTTATTGGAGAATAGGGAAAACTGTCTGCTTCTAGACTTAACGATGAGGTTCTCTTTCCCTCTAACCTCTCCATCCTGCTAATTTACTTTATTACATAGGGTTCCCATTGCTCCATCACTGTCAGACAAGTCATCTCTTCCAGTGCTACTCCAGCTGCTCATGTCCTTTTTCTCCCTGCAGCTCCAGTTCCTTGTTACTCTCAGCTGTCCCTTGCTTGCTACAACTTGCATGTCTCCTTCCCTCTCTAAAGCTTTCAGAAATCCTTCAGATTGATCTGACCACTATAAGGAGATTCTGTGTATGATACACAGTAGGCATTCCTTGTATCATCTGCCTACACAGATGTCTTTTAGAAACATCTATGTAATTAAGTTGTTTCCTTAACATATAGCATATCATAATATAAAAAAAAAGTTATTCAGAACGTCTGAACTTACTATAAAGATAATGTTATTGTTTACAGGTTGCTCATGCTAAAATTCAGAGTCTGGAATCCAGCCTGGAGACTATTTTGACTCGAGAGAACAAAATGAAGACTGTAATTCAGTCCCTGGAACAGGAGAAGATAACATATCAAAAGACTCTTGAGCAGATAATGAAGTATTTGCCAGCAGAAGTGTTGTCTGACTGTGAACTGCTCCTGAAGGAAGTAAACTACAATCCAAATAATAAAATAAAATAAGGACTAAGCCATAAACCAGGGTTTTCTAGGCAGCATTTCTTCAAAAAAGGGAAAGGAAAGACGAGTATGCTGCTTTCAAAGGACTTAGCAATAGGCAACGGTATCATCCAGAACTAGTGCTGGGACACTCATAGCTACAGATGGGCCTTCAAATGTCAGTATGCAAATTCAGGCTGTTAATTTTTTTATGATTGTGTAAATAAATCACAAGGGGGAAATAAAGGATTCTCACGTGTAATTATCATAAATAGATGTATATTTAGAGTTGACCTAAAGGAAAAGAGAAATTTCAGTAATCAAAGTGAAGATAATGGTGATTTACAAATTCAGTCTGGATGTGCTTTCTCTTGTAGTGAAATGAGGAATGCGTGTCTTTATATATAATGTATGTTGAATAATACTTGAAGAAAAAAAAAGAAGAATGTAATTTTCCCTCCAAAGAGCAGCATGTTTCACATCTTCTGTGGAAAATCTGTGTGAACTCATGCGTGCCTCTCTTAATTCTACTGACATTGTGTGCACAGACCAATAAGCAGAATAAGTATCATGACTTGGTTCGTACAGAAAGAGCTCTAGTGCCATCCGCTGCCTGGGCTGTACTGGTCAGCAATGTAATTCCACATGCATGTTGGAACTGGAAACAAAAAGCATCATGTCATAGCTCCGCCTCCATAGCTCAGAGCTAAGAAATAGGTATCTATACACACCCGCAGAACTTGTAAAGACAAGAGCTAACGGTGACTGCTACTTCCTTCCCGGCCTGTTTGCTTCCACCTGTCCTGGGGTTGGTCATGATGACAGGAGGAAGGAAGCAAGGCTGTGGGGTGGTATTTATTCTGATGTTAATTTTCTGCAGGAGGCTTGCTGTCATAAGAGTATGGCATGTAAGAAGTTCTCATTTAACCAAAGAAATACTACAAGAAGCCTTGTCTTATCGTAGCGGGAGCCAGAAAGCTGTTCTTAAATTTTATTTGAAGAGAAAATTGAGGCGGGTTGCAGGAAGTTGAGCATAAAGTGCACGAGAGAGGACCAAGCAAGTTTCAAATATTATGTACCTTTCAATTCTCACATACACAGTGGATATACTGGGATTCTGAAGTACAGGTGCAGTTTTAATAATGCTTTCCAGGTTATTCCTGTTTTAATACTGCTTTGTGGTCTTCTTTTTAAAACAGAAGTTATGAATTTGTGTGTTCTGGGCAGAAGGTAGGTAAGCTCTGATCATTTCAAGGGAGAAAATATGTTTATAAAGGTATAAAAAGATGCATATAGATTTGAAAATGTTTTTGAATGGAGTTTTTGAGAAGACAGACAACTGTGTAATAGACACGTATTTTGGAGTGCATGTCTGAACCGTTAACTGAGTGTTACAGTGGCTCATGTTATCTCTTACCATTTATACTGTATTTCAGGAAACACTTATTCTTTTTAGTAGGAAAAACAAAAAAGCGAAGTGCCAAATCCAGCAGTGTCTTTATGCATAAGATTGTCCGATTTAGAAAGCAAGGACTGAATATCACGGCTCTTTAAGTATTGTGCTTTATGTTAACATAGAAGTGAGGAACAGCAATGCTGATTTGCTGCACGCTGCTGTGGAACTTAGGGGCTTGGGGGTCTCCTGTTCTTTTGTTGTTGTTGTTTTTTACTTCCATGGTGTTTTATTTGATTAAAGATTGATTTACTTAATAGTCTTTCTTTTTACAGTTGGGGTGCAAGGTCTTAACACTGTGTATAAAATTATGTGGAATCTGTCTAGATATTTCAAGAACATTGTATTGTACTAGGTGGGAAGATGCCAAGTGAAAAGGCAGTTCTTTGCAGTTTTGTTCAGAGCAAGTTTTAGCTGATGTGTACATACAAAACATATCCCAGGAACTGCAGTAGTGTGTATTACAAAGAATCAAGGTTATTCAGATACGTCTTTTTTTTTTTTTTAAAAGATGCACTGAATGTGCTTTATCCTCTGTTTCACTTATAAAACTTTTCATGTTGCCTGGAGAGGTGCACTGAATGTGCTTTATCCTCTGTTTCACTTATAAAACTTTTCATGTAATGCCTGGAGAAATTCCAATAAATGTCATTGCTGCATTTCCCATGGCCTCTGGCTAGTTTTATTTTTCTACGCTTCAAGTACCAATCTCATTCTCAACAGTACTGTTTACATGAAAGATGAAAAGGATCTGTTTTGTTTCTCGTTGTGGGGAAGAAAGCCATAGGATTTGTAGAAACGCATGGGGAGGATAGAAATTCTTATTGGGGAGAATAGTCTTGCATTGTTCTTAATAGAAGATTAAATGATTAAAGGGTATTTTTCTCCTGTAGCAGTTCATTTAGTACGTATACATGTTGAGAATAGTAATTTGATGAACTCCACGCTGTACATCTAGCTTGGGAGGAGCAGGACGACACCGTATCAACAAGCAGGAATAAACTACAGAAGTGAAACCACAATGAGGTAAGTGCCTCATGACATTACGGCATTCGTGATACCATTTGTGTTCTGGATGCAAGCGTGGCTTGTAACTGGGTATCTCTAGGGTGTCTAGCTTGAAGTCTGCACGCAAGCAGGTATGCTCCAGACCATCTTCAGATGAATAACCAGCAAGATTATCTAGAAGACTGTGAAGGGCGTGTGTGTTTGTGTCCATCTGTTTGTCTCTCCCTGTGTATCGTATAGATAGTTTTACAGCTGTTCTGTTCTGGTTGCAGTTGTGCAACTGTGAAGAGGGAAGTCTGAGGTGCAGTGCGCCGGAGACAGCTGCAAGGATATTTGCTTGGGAGAAGGGACGGTTCCTGGGTTTGGACAAATTGCTCATTTATTCCTATATCTTGTTTTTCTGTTTGGAAAAAAAAGTTTTCAGAATAAAGCTATTGTTCTGTCTGAGCTAAGCACAACAGCACTCTCAGTTCTTGCAGTCAGCTTGGGGAGAACGAACTCGGGAGGAAAAAGTATCTGCTGTTTTCAGGAACAGCTAACTTAGACTGGTTTCTGCTGGCAGAGGGCTTTTTTAAAAGTCTGGGAAGAGATCCATCCTTTTAGCTAGCAAACTAGCTTGTGAATGAGGAGTACTACTTGCCAGGAATGCAGTTGAAATAGGTCAGTCTGGTAAGAAGGGCTAACACAGGGAACTCTGGTATTCGCATCTTTTATGGACAGAAAACTCGGCCACAAAGTTGTTTGTTTGGTTTTTTTTCTCTTCTAAAAAGGAGAGTATGTATTTCTCTCCTAAAAAGCGGAATATTTATTTAAGATGCCTTTAAGTTGCATTTTGTTCACTTTTCTCCAAAAAAGCATTAGATACTACTGAAAAATCAGCCTCCTGATAAATGGCATGTTCCAGTTGAAGACCTGACTTGAAATCACAAATCTAGCTAATCTTAAGTGGTTTGATTATGCCCTCTTCAACATGACACTGCTTTGCTTAATATCACTACGAGAAAGCTGAACAATTGTAACATAGGAAAGAATTTCGGCAGTTTGGTCCAAGAATTTGATATTACTAGCATGATCCACAGGGTCTACACTTGGACGCTTAATCTAAACCTAAAACCACATAGGTATTAGTGTGTTGAGGTGAATAACACCAGGCACTGTTAATAGTAATTATCCACTCAGTCTTTGTAGTCATAGATGGGTGTTGACAGGCATGTGCAGGCCGTAACATTTCAAGCTTTATGCCAGGCTACACCATCCATTTGAAGAATTGTAATTGATTCTGTATTTCTGTAGTTCAGCTTTTACTGTCAGTGTTAACTACTGTGAATGCATTTAACGTATGCTCTGCCTTCCTCAGTCTTTCTGGTGACTAGAAAGAACAAAATTTTAACTTTCTTTTCCAAAAAGGCATATTGAATGCTTAGCTGTATCCTTCCTCCAGACACCTGGTGTGCAAGGGATAGAGTTTATATGCTTAAAGTTTAATATGTTAGCTCATTCTGTCTGAAAGCATATTAAACTCGGCAGCGACAGTAAAAAGCTGGGGAGTAAAGCAGAGATTACTGTGTGCCTTGAGCAGCTAATGGGTTGTGTGCTGACTGGCTTGCAATGAAGGGGAATCTGGCTGGATTGGTACTTGGTGTGTTGTTTGCTTTTGCTTTTATTTTAATGTTGACCTTAATTCTGGACCAAAGGAAGGAGCTGGTGGTGCTCCTTTACCAAAATGTTGTGTTGGGGTTTCATTTGAGTTGAGAAGGTTTTCCACTCCTTTACTATTCTCTTCAGAACACTTACTCAGCAACCACTTCTTAACAAGGGACTTGAGAATTGTTGTTTGTAGTCTTACCATCACAAGAACCTCTCTTGGAGCTTATCCAAACTGTTCCTGTACTCAAATTACAACTTACTCAAGTCTTCACTCTGATAAAAGAAAGTTAGAAGGGTTTAATATATTGGTTTTATTTTTGGTTGGAGTGCGTGCTGAGAGATGACATAAATGCCATACATCCTGTCCTGCCGGAACGTACATGGAGGGAAGTATTGAGTGAGCTTGTGCTTGTGAAACGCTGGACTAAGAGATGTCACTTCTTAGTCTGGGAAATAGGTCTGTATCTGACTTCAAAACAGAGACCTAGTTGCACTGGCTGTGTGTACTCTATGCTGTTACCTGTCCGAATGATTACTTCAGTCGCCTGCGTACACTTACTATTTGGAGTTGCAGATATTTAGATGTATACGGCCATTTTTGTCTAAAAAGCTCAAACTGCTTGTACCATCCAATTTTGAGCATGAATGAAGCAGGAATGAAGCATTCTGTATAGTAAAAGCATTCTCTTCACATCCAGAGTAGCCGTCCAGCTGAAAACCTTGTTTCAGAACAGAAGAAACACACAGTGAAGAAAGAGCTGGTTTGAGCCTATAGTTACTTTTCACTTGGCTGGGCAAGTGGGCTACCCAAAATAGAATCATAGAATGTCTCAAGTTGGGAGGGACCCATAAGCGTCGTTGAGTCCGACTCCCTGCTCCTTGCAGGTCTACCTAAAACTAAACCATATGACTAAAAGCATCATCCAGATGCTCCTTGAACTCTGACAGGCTTGGTGCCATGACCACTTCCCTGGCGAGCCTGTTCCAGTGGCCGACCACCCTCTCAGTGAAGAACCTTTTCCTAATGTCCAACCTGAACTTCCCCTGGCACAGCTTCATTCCATTTCCTCATGTCCTGTCGCTGGTCACCAGAGAGAGGAGATCGGCACCTCCTCCTCCACTGCCCCCCTTGAGGAAGGTGTAGACTGCGATGAGGTCACCCCTCAGCCTTCTCTTCTCCAAGTTGAACAAACCAAGTGACCTCAGCAGGTCCTCTTAAGTCTTGCCCTTCAGGCCTTTCACCATCTTGGTCACCCTCCTCTGGACACACTGTAATACTTTGATATCCTTCTTATACTGAGGCGCCCAAAACTGCACACAGTGCTTGAGGTGGGGCTGCACCAGTACAGTGTAGAGTGGGGCAATCAACTCCCTTGACCAGCTAGCGATGCTGTGCTTGATGCACCCCAGGACACAGTTGGCCCTTTTGACTGCCAGGGCACACTGTTGACTCATATTCAACTTGCCATCAACCCAAACCCCCAGATCTCTTTCCATGGGGCTGCTCTCCAGCCTCTCGTTCCCCAATTTGTACGTATAACCAGGATTACCCTGTCCCAGGTGGAGAATCTGGCACTTGCTCTTGTTAAATTTCATATGGTGATTGCCCAGCTCTCTAGTCTATCCAGATCTCTCAGTAAAGCCTCTCTACCCTTGAAGAAGTCCACAGTTCCTCCTAGTTGAGTATCATTGGCAGTCCTGGGGAATAGAGATACTCAGGGGCACAGTGTGAAGAGTAGATCCAGGCTAGCCGGAGCCTGGAAGCAGCTGCAATAACACCATGCAAAGTCTGGCTTGCTAAACATCCAGGAATACGGCTGGGTCTGTGCATGGCTCTGTGACGGCTGAACATCACCTCTGTGCTGCATCTCAGGGCTCCTTGCTTCAGACGAGGTCAAGTCTGGTCCCGTGGACTCAGCGCCCATTTGTCCAGTGCAGTTTGTGCTCCTGAAAGACGTCTTCCAGTTTAGTTTTATGTGCCGAGACAGCGCTATGATGCAAACCAAATCAGAGTAAGTAGGGATGATTTCCTTCAAAGCGTACACCTGATGCTAACTAAAACCCTGCTGTAAGCCCCCAAAGCCAGTCAGCATCCCATCAGCGCTTCTCCAGGAGGACACAAGACTGGTTTTGTATGAAGCTGCCGGGCTGTCTGCGCTATCCTCTCCAGCACTTGGTGAAGGGTAATTTTTTTCCAATGCTACAAAAAAACATTTGCCTTTAATTTTTTAGTGATCAATCTGCTAAAGTTGATGCTTCAGAAGAAATCGTAGTTATTAAATTTGTACCTGAATATTGTCCACGAGGTGTCACTGTTGCTTTTGTACGTGCGGCTCGTGCGCATATGTGACAGTGTCATTGTTGCACGGCTCCTGTGCTCTGCACAGTGCGAGCAGCACGCTATGGCTCTTATTTTAGAGAGGAGAATTAACTTGTTCTCCTGCCCGACGAAGCACGATGCGCTATTTGCACACTATTTGTAATAAAATGTGATGTTCACGGTCAAAGAATTTATTGTAATGAGAGGGCTTACCAAATAATAGATATGGCCTTCTCAGAAACGGATGCCTCAGTTGCAGTGTTTAGCCTCTGCTCTTGTGTGAGAGAACTATGGAAGCACTTTTACACGCTACAACAGGCATATTGTCCCCAGCAATCTGATCCTGGGTGTCTCCTTTTGTACCGTTCTGGTCGAGCAGGATTTAATTTTATGTCTCTTGAAACCAGCGTTGAGCTGATGTGGTCTAACTGCAGTCCGATTCTGCACTTACTTGTTTTTATTTGTTTATATAAGGCTTCCTTGCAATAAGCTTCCCTAGGCCCGTTAAGTCTCAAAG